GCCGGCCGATAACTGTATCTGTTGTTGATCGTTTGTTGTGACTTGTGTACCAATGAAACAAATGTGTTCAGCCCATTTCACCTGCGTCATACGCAATCACCGCGCTCGGACGGCGCGGACACGTTTCCGCTGTATGTGCCTGCGGACTGGACGGACCGAGACCACTCAGTCCACGTTTCCGCTGTATGTGTCTGGGAATGGGCGGACCGAGACCACTCAGTCAGGTGCGGGGTAGGACCGTGGTCGAGGCAGCGGCCGGAGTGCGTTGGCTTCTGTCACACACTGACGTTGAAACACCATCTTCTGAGGTGAGTTGCCACCCTTCTGACTTGGGACCACTGTGCGATGGCACCGTCTAACGCAGACCGGTCCACAACCCTTCACTTCCGATATTCGCTCGTCGTTCGTCGCTCCGTCGTCGCGTTAGTTTGCCGTCGCTGCGCCAGATGTCGGTAGCGCGGCGGCGGCACGGCGCTGGTCGGTGGCGGAGCGGCGTGCGCCAGTCGCTCGGCGGAGGTCGGAGGGGTGTGTGACGGTGCGGGAAGCGGACGCGGGCGAGCTGTGATGCTGACGGAGACGGCAGGACCGGGCGTGCTGGCCACTCGCCAGGAGCGGGATATGGTCTCCGACAGTCTGGGTGAGTGGAGAGCGCCGCCTCCGGCCTGGCAGAGTGTTGTTGGGACGGTAAGACCAATATGTCGTCACTTTTGCAGACTTTCGGTGATGGCCGTCATTAGTAACACGATCAGGCCGCACTTGCGCCCTATCACGGCGTGTTTTCTCTGCTGAGATCACCGGCGAATGAAGGTTCCTCGAGCACTTGATCAAACGACGCCGCCATGCCCTCCACCCGGCCCCATCCTAGGCCCCATGTGGTGTTTGCTCTTTATTCGGAGGTTAATAAAGATGTCATGTGTCGGTGCTGAATCAGTTTCTGGGGCGTATTTTAGTTAGTTCAATGTTATGATCATTATTATGATCGAAGCTAACGCTAGAGGTCATCTATGCATAAATGCTAGCAGCACACCCATCCTGCTAAAATCATTTTCGGCACGCCGATTGTGCTGATAGGGAACTACTCCTATGTCCGCAGGGGAGCCAAATGAAGCTTTAAAACTGGAATGATAAGCACAGTTTGATTTTGTGCTACAGATTGTACAATGTACATCGTATGGTTGTACAACTCTGGTAAGCATTCCTACATGTAGCCTGCTGAATTATTGGTGCGGCAGTAAAGTGAAAACTGAATTAACTGCATCGGCCAGTCTGTTTCCTGGCCGGACTTTAATCAAGTATCCTAGGGATGCAGCCCTTACAGTGATTACATTTTAACCAGTTGTGATAGGATATTATTATAAGGAACCACTCCCCGTTTTGATAATAACCTGGTGCATTTGTCAAGTCGCATACGCCTTCCGTTTATCGTGAACCGTTCACCATCGGCAGCTCAGTCATACAGACAAAGCGACAGGGTGGTGTGCAACTGCACAACGCTTTATTTAGGCGCGCATACCGGGCTGTCAGTGATAGTTTAATACAGCTCTAGGACCCGACACCCTGTCAACCATATCTGCTAACTTCCACTTATGTAGCTGCAGGCTCAGGCTCATCCACAGCTCGTCCTTCTGATAGCTCCCGCTCCCCGCAGCTCTCCTGGCTCCCTCCCGGCTCCGGCCGGAGCTCATCAGGCTCCCATCGCGCCGGGTCGCCGCTCCTCATTGGCTGATTAGCGCCGCCTTGTTAGACCGCGTCAGCCGCTCGCTAATCAGCTGCTCGGGCCGTGCTCGTCAGCTCGCTGCAGCCCGCTCGTCGGCTCGTTTTCAGCGCTCGTTGTTGCGAGTTTTCTGTCCCGCCGCTGTCGCTGCGGTTCACTGGCACTGGTGTGCCGCTGTCCGCGTCCGTGTCTGTCGGCCCCCGAGTCGCAATCTCGGCCCCGGCCGGGCCAATCAGTCCTGGGGCGGCCGTCGGCGCCGCGCCATCAGTCATCGCGCCGCCGCCCCAATCAGTCGCCCACTGTTAGCCAAATGAAACCAGGATGTTGTGCCATTATTTGAGAAATGTGACGAGTGGTTAATGGCCTTTTTGTTCGGCGGAGATAGATTTCCGGCCGAGTGTGTTTTTTGCCCGGCACTGGGCGGTGATTGTCAGCGAGCGGCGGCTCCGTCGGCGGCGGACGGGGCGGCGGTGGCAGACGGCGCGCACCCACGGCCGGTGAGCGCGCGGGCTGGGGCGTGCGATATGACGCGCAGCCGCCCCCCCCCCCCTGCCGTCGACCCATGCCGCGTGGCACGGGCCCGTGTGACGCTCCCCCTGCCGCCCAAATTGCCGCGTGTCGGTGCGGCCGGCGGCGCTGCGCCCCGATACGGCGTCCGGCGGCGGCCGGCGCCGCGCTCGACTGCGTCCACCAGGCACGGAGCGCGCCGCGCCGATAACGAGTCGCCTGCCGGACGCACGCACTGATTGGAATAATCCATTTCAAACGCATCGATAACAATTTGACGGCAATTTTCCGGCCATCAGCGGCGGGGCTGGGTTGTGACGGCGGGCGCCGGTGGGCCGCGCCGCCCATTAGCCTTATGAATGAGAGTGTGCAGCGCGCGCGGTCCGACCGCGGTCAGTGGAGTCGGCTGCGCCGCGGCCGGCTCCCTAATGAATTACACAGGCCGCTCTGCCATGTACTGAATTCCGGTAGTCGCTGATTTATGCGGGAAATAAAATGCTGCCCGATTGTCGGCTGGTGGGGCTGTGTTTTAATTTAATCACGATTTAACTTCAGATTGCTGGGCAGTAAATTTCGGCGAGCTAATTACGTTTTTAGATGAGGCTCGGTGGCGCGGGTGCGCTGCGGCTGGCAGGGGGCGGTCCGTGGGCGGGTCTGAGTGCACCCGCGCGGCCAGCCGAGCCAAGCGGCAGCGCGCGGCACGCTCTCACTCCCGGTCGCGCGCTTTGTCTCGCTTTCCCTCCGTTGTCATGTCTTTGATTCTCTCTCACTTTTAGCACTTGTCGTCCTCGGCTGTTGTCTAGATTTCGTCCCATTCTTCGCCGAAGTGCTCTCAGCTGTCTTGTGCACCGCTCCTTTTCTCTCCTCCGCCTCTAATTGTGTCCTTTTCTCAAACTCCGCTTCTCTTCATCATAAGCCTGTTCTCTGATTTCCACATCCTTAGCTTCTGTCCCCGGCTTCATGTGCTAACCAGTCTTTCTGTTCACGGGTGAGAGCATGGCGCTGGTATCTGGTAGGTACTCGTATATGAGGAGCCGGCGCACGATCGCTCCACCCGGAGACGAGAGACAAACTGTTTGCATTTCATCAGCCGCTGTAGTGGCGGCGCCGCTCGGAGCCGGGCCGGGCTGTGGGCCCGCGCCCGTGGCTGTCCGTCTGTCTGCGCGGAGCGCTGCAGCCTCCCGCATGGTCACACGGCCACCCTGAATAAATACAACACGGGAAGCCAATCAGTGCCGCCCGCATCCCCCCCCCCTCCCCTCCCGGCTCCCCGTCCCTCCCGGGCGCCGACCGGTGCGCTGGGCGGCCGAGTGCTGAGCGCCGGCCGGCGGCCTGCTCAGTTACTAATGAGTCGCAGCTGTCGGCGGTCCGGGGGAGGGCGGCTGATCACCGCACTGCCACCGCACTCCGCACTCACACTGCTCGCCCGCCGCCACCTCCGCCACCCCCAGTCTCCTACCGCACCTCACACCCCCGGGGGAGGGGCGGCTGATGACCGCACTACCGCCACCACGCGCAGTCCGCACCTCACACCCTCACCGCACCATACCACCTCCGCCCGCAGTCCGCACCTCACACCCGCGGGGGAGGGGCGGCTGATGACCGCACTACCGCCACCACGCGCAGTCCGCACCTCACACCCTCACCGCACCATACCACCTCCGCCCGCAGTCTGCACCACATACCGCACCTCACACCCCGGGGGAGGGGCGGCTGATCACCGCACTGCCGCTACCACCGCCCGCAGTCCGCACCTCACACTGCACCTCACACCCTCACCACCGCCTGCAGCCCGCAGTCTCAATACCGCACCTCCCACCCTCACCGCACCTCGTATATACCATCACCACCGTCGCACCATACCAACCGTGCACCGGCGGCCACCTCCAACCGCGGCAGGGGCTGGGGGTGCACCGCCGCGCGCTACCACCCGCAGTCCGCACCTCACACCCTCACCACCGTCGCGCCATACCGACCGTGCCCCGGCGGCCACCTCCAGCCGCGGCAGGGGCTGGCCTGGAGGTGCACCACCGCGCGCTACCACCGGCGTGGCAGGCCAGGTCATCGTCCCGCTGCAGTGAGCCGCGTGCCGCCAGTGAAGGTGGTCCTGGCATTTGATGCAGTCCTGCGTACTATGTCTACGGTATGGAGGTGTGTTTAGGCACAAATGAAACTTTCGAGGATCTGAGAGTCGAGTGCGCCGAGCCCTGGACTCCTGCTCGTGGCATGCCTCATGTGGCACGGTTACGGAGCTGCGGGTAGCACCGAGACTCAGCCGGTCGCCGGCAGCCGCGCAGACTCCGGCCTACGCTGCGGTTAGGGAGTGGGCCTGTCGTCACCTTTTACAGAGGCGTGCCAGCCACTGTGTCCTGTGGTTTAGTGAACGGAAGCTGGTATCGTCACCGGCATCAACCTTCACTCAGCGAGAGAAGCATTCTCGGGAATGCCGAGGGACACAAATAAGGGGAGAGTTGTACGAATGCAGCGCCGGCTGGCCGATGGTCACCTGGGCTGGGCTGGCCGACGGTCACCCGGGTTGGGCCGGGCGGGAATTCCAGCGGCCGTTTTCTGCCAGCTGCCGGGCTGGCCGCCCAGTCCTGTCCCGATGTGGTGTCCTCTTGCAGCCCAAACCTGGCGCTGGAGCCGGTACAGTCCACTGGAAGCTCCAGAGGCGACCGCACATACAGCGAGCGCAGCAATGCCATGTCTTTACTCCGAGAAAGTCGAGTACCGACACCTTCTCCAGCAGCATCTGACGGTGACCCTGGTTCCTTTTCAGACCGTAAAAAGCCGGACATGTCTCCGGGAGTGGGCGGCGGGGGCGGCGGCGGCGGCGGCAGGACGTCGGCCGCCCACCTGTGCGCCGGCTGCGGCACCTCCATCACCGACCGCTACCTCCTCAAGGCGGTCAACAAGTTCTGGCACGAGGACTGCCTCAAGTGCGGCGCGTGCGACTGCCGGCTCGGCGAGGTGGGCTCCACGCTGTACGAGAAGGCCAACCTGATCCTGTGTCGACGCGACTACCTCAGGTGAGAGCTAGCGTCCGCGGGCCGGCAGCGGGCTAAGATCGGACCGTCTGTGGCGTCGGTCCCGACTCATTCCCAGAGGCCCCCGGCAGGGATCACCCGTCCCCTTTCCGGCCGCAGGGTCCTTCGTTAATAGAGCGCACAACTGGCGGCGCCAGGAGCCAGTTGCGCTTATTTATGCGCTATTACTCCGATCTTTATGCCCCTCTTGGTTTTATGTTCCGATGAGTGGATGCTTATCCGATCAAACGGTTAATCAAACGGTCAATCGCGGGCTGGTCGGCTGTGCAGTTCAGCTGAGTATTTTTTAATTGTGGTGGTGTCTGCAGCCAGCCGGGGGCACCCCTCAGGGCCCGTAGACAGGGACCGGTGCGGGGATCAGAGCAGGGCAGCGGGCCGGGGCCGGCCCCGGCCGCTACCCCCGGCCTCAGCGGCCCGCTGTCCTGGCCCGATGACGGCGCTCTGCGGACCGCGGCGGCGGTCGCTGCAATGCCGCCGGCTCCCGGTCGAGCCGGGCCGCCGGCACGACCCACCAATCCGCCCGAGACCAATCAAAATTAATGAGAAATGCTGAGAATCACTTCTATCGACTCTGGCTATGGTATAATGGCCGCTCGATAATATCTACAGCGAGCCCTCAGCTAATTAACTTCTTAATTAACTGATGCCATTTTTATGCGCATTTGGTTAATCACTAATCTAATATAAACGGGTCGGAGCCAAGTGTCAACGGACAGCGGGGCTGCGCAGGGCCGGACTGCCGGACGGCCGCGCTGGTATAAATAGCCGCCGCGCTGTTTGCCCGCTCCGAGTTCATTAGTGATGAGCGCCGGTAATGACACCAAAATGCTGACAGGCGCGTACGGGCGCTTGTCAGCGCGCCCAAATTGGCCGGCCGGGGAGCGCAGCGTGTTTACCCCGGCCAAATCGGTAAAACGCGGCGCGCCGGCGGCGGCCAGTGGCGCGGGGGTGCCGGGGAACGGCGGGGGTGTGTGCCGGGGAACGGCGGGTGTGTGTGCCGGGGAATGGCGGGGGTGCGTGCCGGGGAACGCCGGGGGTGCGGGGTGTGTGCCGGCCGCCAGCCAGCCGCGGCCCTGTGACCCCACTCAGAGCGGCCCGGCGCGGACCACGTGTGCCGCCGCGGCCGCGCCTTGGGCACAATTGGCGCCGCGCGGCCAGATATCTCCATTCTTCGCGCCGCCGCCGTGGCGTGTCGGCGCCGCCGCCGGCTTTGTTTGTGCGCCGCGCCGCCGGCATCTCGCGCCCAGTTTTGACCCACTAATGAGACGATTGTCCGCTGTGCGGCCCGATACCATCCGCGCCAATTAGGCCCAGCTGACGTGTCGGCGACTCTCTATCGGGCCGACCGTCTGCGCCGCCCTCGGCCCCCACCCGGGCGCAGCCGCTCTCCCGGCGAGTGCGGGCAACACAGCGGAGCTCAACTGAAGGAGCAGTGAGCACTCAACTCGGGACCGCAGCTCAGTAACCCAGGGGTGGGAATTGGGACCGGTCAGCTGGGCTCAGGGCGCGAAGCCGGTGGTAACTCACGCCCACGGACAGGTCGCCCACGAGCAGCCGCTGCTCAATGAGATCTCGTGTGAGAGGCGAGAGCTCAGGGAGAGCTGAGGGGGAGCTCAGAGCTCACATGGCCAGGTGGCCGGGTGCTGACCACTGTGGCCAGGAGTGGCTCCCTGCCTGCTTACCGTTTGTCTGTGTGTAATTAATCGGTGGCTGTCGGGCGCAGACGGTATACCAATTACCGGCTGGCCTGTGTGCGTGTGTGTGCGTCTGTGTCACTCCCTGGTGCGGCCGTACACGCTGCTCTGTAAGGCGATTGGCCGTTTCCAATGAGAGGCGTGCTATGTGGTCCAGCGTCTGTTGCCGGTCTAATAATTATTATCCCACTGCTCTGCAGCGTCGGAAAATGTGGAACCGTGCTGCGTCGGTCCTGTGGCACCGCTGACTGCGTTTTGCTGCGGGTCTTTTGAAGGCTACTGGATGGATACGGAAGCGGGTCCGGCCGCCCCGCTGTCCACCCGCTCGGTACCCCGACGCTGACCGATAGCACACACGGCTGCGTCCTGCACGACGGACGGAACCGGCGGGGACCCCAGCTGGGCCCGGCGCAGGACTGGGGCTTCCCGGCCGCAGCCGCGCCCCGGCCCTATCGGAAACGGCGGCGAGGATAGGCCGACGTCAGCTACCGCGAGCGCCACAGACCGCACGGGCCGAACGGAACCCGGCGGGACCGCAAAGGGAGTGGACGGTTGAGAGTGCAGAAGGTGGACGGTGGACGGTGACCGCCGGTGGGTGGTGGGCGCTAAGTGGTGGACGATGGACGATGAGCTGTGGACGGTGGACGGTGGCAGTCGCGGATTCACCGATCGGCCGATTCGGCGCATAACTCCCCCATGTCGGGGAAGGTGGCTGTGCCGGCCCAGCTGTGCCGAGCAGCGCCGAACAGTGGCTGGAATATACCGACCCGTCGGAAGCAGTCAGCTCGGAGTGTCGCCGCCTCTGCAGCGATCGGCCACGTCCGGCCCTGGACTGCAGTGACATGCTCAGCTTATGGGGCGGCTGGAGGTCTGCGCTTATGTCAGGGACAATCAGCGGGCTGGTGAATCTCCGCGTCTGTCTCCGCGGCGCGCAGCGAGTGGAGACCGTCCCACCGCAGCCCGCCGGTCCTGACCGGGTCAGACGAGCGCTGCTCACCACTCACCGCAGCCCGCCGGTCCTGACCGGGTCAGACGCGCGCTGCTCACCACTCACCGCCCGCCGGTCCTGACCGGGTCAGACGAGCGCTGCTCACCACTCACCGCCCGCCGGTCCTGGCCGGGTCAGACAAGCGCTGCTCACCACTCACCGCCCGCCGGTCCTGACCGGGTCAGACGCGCGCTGCTCACCACTCACCGCCCGCCGGTCCTGGCCGGGTCAGACGAGCGCTGCTCACCACTCACCGCCCGCCGGTCCTGGCCGGGTCAGACGAGCGCCGCTCACCACTCACCGCCCGCCTCCTGGCCAGGACACTTCCAATTTACTTTTAATGACTTCGCGCTGCCTTTAAGAAATTTAATTAGAGAAACAACGCCCTCTCTCTAAACCTGAATTAATTGCCGACCCGTCGCTGGGTGAAAAGTTTATCATAATAGCGCGCTGCTCCATGGCAGGCTGCTCTAATGGGCCGGCGACGTGAACAGTTGATGGTGCCGTCCTCTGACCGATAGGGTGCGGTGTGCGGTGTCGACGGGCACCAGCTCGCCGGGCCGGCAGAGTCGCTCCCGCCGGCCCGCCGCCGCCCGCTAAGTAGTTGTCAAAGTACCGCCCCACACGCCGTTCAGTTTTTGCCAGCCCGCGGTCGGCCCGAGTTAATATCGCCCGAGTCACCGCGCAGGTGGCTGCCTTATTGAAGCCTTGACGCGCACACGAGTCGCGCCTGACAGCACAACTTTGACAGGTGGTTTATTAGAATTTTAAGTACCTAGCACTAGATTGGCCTACGGTATATGAACTTCGAACTGCGGCTTTTTTGTTCTTGGCAATGAATATTTAGCTAAGCTGCATTTATGCCTTTAATTACATACCAACCCAAGTTATATTCGCTGATGCTAGTTGCGAATTATTAGCATTCAGTGCGGCAACGAGGAGGGCGGGGTACCTCGGAGAGGAGCACCGCGCCGCCGCTGGGTCCTCTGGCTGAGAGAACTCTCTTCCGCCGCCGGGTCCTTCGGTCTGCCAGGATCCTCAGCTGCGGGTCCTTGCTCCGTATACGGTATCCTCCAGCCCCGTATACGGTGTCCTCGCCGCCGCAGTGGACGCCGTTGCAGTCGGCAAGCCGGACGGTCACAGCAACGGCTCAAACAGATCGGAGGCCACGGCTCGCTGCTAATCTCATTAGTGTAATTAGCGGGAATTCAGTAATTATCCCGTTGCTTGTTTGTCTAATTAGGCGAGCTTGTTAGTGTGATTAAAATCCATGACTCGCCGCCTCGCTAATTACGTTTCTATACGGCTCGATGTGTCCGTCTCTGTGTGGGAGTGGGAGGGCCCGGTTCAGACGGGCTGAAGTGCTGACAGCGGGCTGGATTGGACGGACGAACGAACGGACGGACGGATTCGCGTTCGGTGCTGGGTCGACAGGATGAGCACTAATGTGTCACTGTCGGCCGACGTGTGCCGCCCGAAGTCTGTTATCAGTGTACCATGCAGCGCTTCCTGTTGGTTGACTGGACAACCCGCGCTCCAGTCATGCACTTAACTGTCAGTCATCTTTTGCCATCCTTTCTTGAAACAGTGCTGAGTGTGAGACAGAACGTGAGCTTTCGACAAATCATGAAAATGCGCCTGTGTCTGTCTTACTCTCGAAACAGCGACTTCAGAATGAGTGCCGGTTGGTGGTATATCAGTCCCACGCACAAGGGGGAAAAGCTCAAAAAATTGAGCGCTCAAAAAATTGAGCGGGCCCCATTATGAAGGAATAGGCGAAACGATGGTATTTTACAATGCCTTTAGCGTCACACTACGGCAAATATCGTATCCAAATAAGGTATCAATGGCAAGAGAGAGCAACAAGGTTTCTTCTCGAACACTCGCCGTGATAATTTATATCGGTGTTTTTGGAAAGAAAATGCCCTAAAGACGCTCAACTTTTTGAGCGCCACTTGTCGTTCGGGACCGCGATACTCAATAAATTGAGCGCCACGACAGACGACAGTCAGCTGGCGCTCAAAAAATTGAGTGCCGGCCAGCATCTACACTCAATTTTTTGAGCGTTCTCCGTGACAGGTGAAGCCGGTACTGGCTGCCATTTTTGATGTTATGTTCGTTGAAATACGTTAAACTGAGTTGAAACAGAAATGCAGGAAGTTGAATGCTACGTGGTACCTAAACTTCACAAACCCATGGCATCATGTCACATTTTCCGCTAGTAGTTTTATCGGTCTTTCGGATTCGGCACACCTCAAATAATTATACAAGGCTTGAATAATTCGTATGAATACTGTAAT